CAACTTTGTAGGTGTTGTCTATCATAATATTTGAATTTTGCAACGAAATATACAGCAAATTTATTATTAAAATTAAATTGAATTTGAATTTACAACGAAATACACAATAGTCAGAATTAAATTCAATTCAGTTCAATTTTGAATCAAAATTTTAACAACAAATTTTAATCAAAAACATTTTCCGAAGTTTAGTGGTCAAAATTCGACCATCTCAAATTTTAACGACACGACGGGGTGCTACGTGTATACTCCGTCAATCACGTCATCAATTCGTTAGAGATTTTAAATGGAAGTTATACCAGTGACTAACTTTAGACATTTTTCAAAATTTATTTATCAAAATTTCACATTTTAAGCTTTAGTGGGCAATTGAAGGCACGAACACAAGTCAGTGACCATTTGAAGCAATTAACTACAGCTAGAACGGTTCGTATTCCGCCAGCCGACTGGCCCGATCAGATTTTCTAGAAAAATCTAGAGCTAGGGTTTCGTCGAGCAATCGCCTCGTAGGTAAATAAATATGATCTAAACAAATATCTCAATTTGGCAATCTCATATTCTCATCAAGAATCGTGTTTTAAATTTCTCATCTTCATTAGTTTTTGTTTTCGTTTTTATGTATTTTCTAGAGAAATTGCGGTGAATTCAAGGATGGCTGTAGGTGGAAATTTCCTCCACAGAGTTGTATCTTATGTAGCTAATGAGCTGATTGTCAATGGCCTCGCTAACAGGTAATTTATTTGCATATATATCTAATACAGAGAAAGATTTCACCTTTTTTCCCCCTTTGGTTCGGTTTTTGGAATTATATTTTTAGACGTAAATAATTTTTGATATTGAACAGCGTATTAGAAATTCCCCATCTATGGCGTGTTAATTTAATTTATCCGTGAAAGGAAAGTCTTATAGTTAGTTTTTTAATAACTGGGCATTGGCCGATGATGACTCATCGTAGGCTTGTAATGATCGCGGAGATGACCGCAGTTTTTTTAACAAAATCTAGTGGTCTGAGGCTTTCCTTGTTAAAATTATACATATTATAAGAAGGAAATCTAGCATCCTGGTTTAATATTAATATTGGATTGTTACGCCAAAACATTTCCTTCTAATGAAATTCTATGCTGGTTATAGTTGAACTCTGAAACTTTTAAGAAAAGAGCACCTATGAATTTAAAGATGAAATTGCTTTCCAGTTGGTTGCTGCCTTGCTGGTTATGCATTATGTTTTCAGTTTTTATGTTTCTTTATGGATTTCAATGTTGACTTTTTATGCTTGTGGTCATTATTGAGACCACCCCTGTATTTCCTTTATGAATATCACCTTTCTGAGGCTCTCTCGTTCGTCTTGCATTTTATATATTAAAGCTATCTCGTAATGCTTATGTTACAGCTGTGAATAGAAAGCGTAAATGCATACTTGAGCTACAGCGAATATAGGTTTTTTGCATTATTCAGTCAATTACAACCTGATAGGGTAGCTGATGCATATTGTTCTTGGTGCACGTGAATGAAGATTGCCTTTTCTTTATTTCATTGCGCCCCACATGCTATAATATGTTTGGAGATATTTATACCCGTAGTTGGATTTCTCTTCCTCCTACCAGCTGCATCTTTTTCATATGTTTGAAGCAATCTAAATGAGTTCCAAATATTTTACTCTTTATTCTTCAATTCCGTCTACAATTTGCTGGGCTCTCTTAGTCTGTTTGTAAATAGGATACCCCCATGTTCGTGTGTAGTTGTCCCTGGAGATGCATTTTTTATATACACACAATTTCTGATACAAGTTGTTTGTTTATTTTTATTAAAGTCCTACATTTCAGAGGTTCGCCGTGAGGACATCAAAAAGGATAGAGGAGCTTTCTAATATGGGTAATGACCTTTATCTTTCTTCCTCATCATTCAATCAATACTATTTTTTCATTAGATGCCTTTATACTATGTGCTACTAATCATTGTTATTCATTAGCGGCTCAGAAGAAGAACGATATTGCTGAGCAAGTGAAGGATGCCTCAAAAAATTTTGAGGTTGGTGTTTGCAATTTTTAACTCATCATTTAAAATTGATGTGATTTTCCTATGTTGCTCTTCTTCCTACAAGTAATTCATAAGTAATTTCTTATGGATGACATTTTTTTCATTTTTTGCAGTCATTCAAGAACCAGTGATGCTTCAGGCTCTCTGATACGGGAAATAATGATAGATGTACAGTACGTATTAGTTCTTGGATTTATATTTGATGGTGATAATCAAGGCTGTATTTTCTTTCCTTGTCATGAGAAAGATTTAGGCTGAAATTGCTTGTATCACTAAAGTCGTCTTTTGTTAAATGATTTTCTTTAAATGTGCCTTTTTGCTAGAGTCTGGTAACTGGTAAATGTAAGTTCTTTTAGTGAGCTATTAACATCTGAAGTTCGTTTGGAAGTTCCTTGAAACATACTTTCGGTGTTCTAAGACTCTCTGGCATGGTTCCTCTCAGTTATTTTGGGGCGCTTCGATTGTCACGATAGCTTTTTATCTGTTTCTTGATGTTAAGTTTCACCCGTTCATGATTTAAAATTTCATTGCTTTCCTCCCTTGTGATATCAAGCTTTTAAAATGAAATAAATACTACTTACTATTAAAGAGTTGGGTTTTATATTGAAGGTTAACCTTGTACTTTTATGCTTTAACAGAAGTGAGATTTTATCCTTCACTCTCTCTTTGAGAGTTGCGTGCTTCAGATCTCTCAAGCATGTCATATAAATAAGTTGAATTTTGCTACTTGTACATAAAAATAGTACGTAAGCGGTTACCGAGAATGATGTGGAGGGAAAATCTTGGATGAAAAAGTTGATTGTGTTTTAAACTGATTAATGATAAAGTGTGATACGACGTTATATAATCGCATATTTAAATCTTGATATATATATATATGTGCAGCAAGATCCAAATAAGTTAGTCGTACATGATTTTATTGCCCCATTTTGTCATCAAGCATAGAATCAAACATGAGCTATTCGTAGTAAGCTATTAAGCAATGTATTTGCTTGTCGATTCTAAATTGATAATTTAGAAGTGCCTAATGTGTACACGTATATTCGTTATCAGCTGATAATAAGTCCAATTTGAAAGCGGTCAAAGACGAGTCAAAATTATTGTGTTTAGGGGTATGTGCTGTCCTAGACCATTCGCAAACTGGTGCGACATGCCATCAGTTGACTTTTCCTGTTTATAATTGGTCGAACTCTGAACGGACGTTTATGATTTTGTCCAATTTATCTTATCATACGTCTCCCTGGCTGAATTTAATGGTTCTGAGACATGTCCCTAGTTGATCTTGATGGTTTTGATGCCGTTACTGGAATGTCGACCTACTTAAACTTTGACCATGACCTGCAGCTGGAGGAATTGACGAAGGAATATCAATCGGGTCTAGATTGTTTTCCAGTCATTATATTTTGGGTCTGTGTTGGAGGAAGGGATACCATTCGAATCTAGTCTTGTTTTTTGACTCGTTTAACTTAATTTAAGGTTCAAATGACGGGTCTTGATAGTTATTTCAGCCAATTTTAATTTAGTTCAAAACCCAATATTCTTAATTAATAGGGAAAATTGCGACCGCGGTCCCAAACCTTTCATTTTGTTGTAGATTACACCCAAACCTTTAATTTTTGCGGTCGAAGTCCCAAACCTTTATATGTAATTGTAGCTTCGGTCCCAAACCTTTTTTGTAATTACAGCGTCGGTCCCCAATCTTTAATTTTTACAGTCGAAGTCCCAAATCTTTGTATGTAATTGCAGAGTCGGTCCCAAATCTTTGTATGTAATTGCATCGTCAGTCCCAAATCTTGAATTCCGTCC